AATTCATTATTTGCAGTATATTAACTTTTAACTTTTTATCACAGGATTCACAGTCATAAAAAATTCCAACCAACTCTATATACCAATTTTTTTATTTAGCTTCTCATATTCTCACCTACTTCAAAATGCTTGTGGCTATTACATACAAATCAAGTGAACTCCCTTATGTTGAGCCCATGAGCAAACCCACATGTGAGTGAAAGTGTTGTCCCACATTGAAAGAGTGTAAAAGTGTTGGTAAGTGTATGTTCCCACATTGAAGAAACAAGAAAGTTGTGTCCACTTTAAAAGGTTAAGGGGCTACTCTCCTCATTGCATTGCCATATGGTTTTGAGGTCCTTGGTCATATAAAGTGGACACTTGTGGCGGATGTGGCCCTTGCCCGTTTATCATGGTATCAGAGCATGCGTCACGGGTTCAAATCTCATACACCCCCCTTTCAAATGGAATATTGAGCGTTGGGTATGAGGATGGTCCATGCAACATCCATACTTCAAGCCCAATGAGCTCTCGTGTGAAGGGGCGTAATAGTGTATAAAACATATTCCTAAGCCTCAACCATCAGGTTGAGTTGGTCCTCAAATATGATATCAGAGCCCAGGTGGGGTTGTGTTGTGAGGTGGGCCAATATTACAGACAACTCACATGTGAGGGAGAGTGTTGAGCCCATGAGAAAACCCACATGTGGTCTATTAATGAAGCAAGTTTGGAGCTGAGGATCACCCACTACCCCTAATTGTTTCTTTCAAAGTTTTGTCATGCAAGGTTTAAATCATCTTTGAAAACAGGGAATCCAATTTCCTTCACGAATAAGAATTTTTCGTAGGGAATGCGAGAATTCACTAATGAATGGAGAAAAACATTATTGTATGTGGCAATGACAGATAGATGAAAGGTAAAGTGCAAGAATTTACATCTCATGTTACTTTGCTCTAGGCTAAACATGGGAAAGCAAGGGAATTTATAATACCCATGGGGAATGCCTAGAATCATGCTCGACCTAGTTCTTGTTTTGGGTTTAAAGATGTGTCATTAATTAATAGTGAATACAGAGTTACATATGGAAGATTCTTAAGATTATATGTATGTATAAACTGGTGGTTTCATTAATTGTGTCGTTTCACAGTCAAAACTTGATACGCTTTCTTAAAACAATCTACAGGGGATTTAGTTTTGACTGAAATGACAATTTTTTTTATAGGAATATGTGGTCTCTAAACATCCTCCCAAAATGGAAGATTTTATGTGGAAATTGTTACGTAAGGGAACTTGGGGAGAAGGGTTTACACATTGATATTAACTGTGATCTTTGTGGGAATTTAAGGAAGATCGACAACATCTTTTCAGATGAGGGTGGGATTCTTAATATTCACTCAGAAGTAAATACAGACCAGTCATTTATTGATTGGATTATGTACTATAACCGGCTGTTTTAAAGCCAGGATGGAAAGAATGATCATATCATCAGGACTACTCGTACTGTTTTTTACACTTATGCTTTGGAGATCGTGGCTTATAAGGTATTTTAGGATGTTTAGGAGTATGTGCACTACATGTGAGCTCTACAGAGCCATTATTTTTGAAGGCTTACAACAACATGGTCTTTTTACAAAAAACTATGATATCCCCAGGTAGGGTTTATGCGGGCCATTTTACAAAATAGAGGGAAAGGAGGCCTACTTGGTTGATGGTTTATGGAATAAGCACACAAATATATCGCAAATGGGTCGGTGCCCGGATAAACGAAAATAGGTATAGCTTGGGAGGGGGTGGGGGTTGCATCAATCCTATGGTTTGACATACTTAATAACGTTGCACGCGGTGATGAATGCCTGTCTTGAAGAACTGCATTGGGGAGTAAACGAAAACTGCATTCCAAAACAATATTTACAAACTTATTGACTATGGTTTAGATGCTCAGAGATGACTGGATTACAAATATCAAACTGAAATGGACGATGGATCATATTCTTCATATATATCAGAGGGTTGACAAGGCGCACATTCCCGCTACTATAACAAATTATAGTTCAACGTCGTGTTTCAATAATATTTTCTAGTTTTGTTTTCCTTAATAACATGTCAAAAAATAAGTAATGTTACATACATAGACATGCAAAAATGCAAACCACGCACCATATTATCTACATATGCAGTTTTTTGCTTATCCCTTTGAGTTATACATCTAATAGTATTTGTACGTGACATAACTTCTGCATATATGATCATCTCTTTGAGAAAAAATGTTGAATTTTGGTTTTTTTTTTTTTTTTTTAAATTTCTTTTGGTGATGGAAATGAAGCCAATTTGCATGCAAACACAATGGCCCTAAAATAATTAGTTCTTAACTAGGTGTATTTGTTGTTGCATATTTATTACTCTACTTGTATTTGCAAGTTTTATTAGTCGTCGTTACATAAGTATATTTTGTTATTGGTTGTATTAGCTAGTTGACTATCTAATAAGTTTAGTTCGTTGTTTGTATAAAAGTGTTTGATATAAATTTGGGAAATTCTACATAGTGGCCTCTAGGTTTCAATTTTTCTACGTGAAAGACAAACTTTTTTCCAACTCTCTGAAGTGGCACTCTGATTTTGCAAAATTAAGTGTAGTGTCCTTTTTTTGGTTGTATGGCTAACTTTTATAATTAAAATGGTTAACCTAAGGTTTTTTAGTTTAAAAATTAATTTAATTATATTTTAAAATAATAATATTAAAAAAATAAATAAATAAAAAATAGTACAAAAAAAAACAAAAAAATTCCCAAAAATTCCCAGCCACCCCGCCAACCTTAACCTTGCCGGAATCCGACTAGCCACCAACTCCCGACCACCGAAACCACCTCCCAGCCAACTACCGACCACTGAAACCACCTCCCAGCCAACTCCCGACCTCCAAAACCACCTCCCAGCCAACTCCCGACCATCGAAACCACCTCCCATCCAACCCCCGACCACCTAAACACCAAAACTGGTCGGCCGACCTTCCACGACCCCACCTGACCTAGCCCCGACCCCTAAAACCGCCACTCCGATCCCCAAAACAACTACGAAGTCCAACAAAACCACCGCCACCCCCACCGCGAAACCCTAAATTCGACGGAAATTGGTCGGCCGCACCCCTTGACCACCTAAACTCGCCGGCCAATTTCCGGCAAGGGTGGGGGCGAGCTGGGCTGTCGAAATGGTGAAGGTTGTCGCCTTCTGGGATGGTGGTGGTGGCCGGTGAAAATTCCTTTTTTTTTTAATTTTATTATTTTAAAATATAATTTAATTATTTTTTAAACTAAAAACCCTTAGGTTAACCATTTTAATAATAAAAGTTAGCCATAAAACAAAAAAAAAGGACACTACACTTAATTTTGCAAAACCAGAGTGCCACTTGAAAGAGTTGGAAAAAAGTTTGTCTTCCACGTAGAAAAATTGAAACCTGGAGGCCACCATGTAAAATTTCCCTAAAAATTTTGGTAGCAGATAGCTAGTTTTATATGTAACTAAATGATCATGTAGAAAATAATAATCATTTATAATTTACAACTACGTATACATTTATGTATCTTTGCTCCAAAAAAATTTCAACTCAACACCTTAGCTTATTGATTACCATGAAATGTAAGAATAGTATTTAAGTGATTTTGATCGAATATTAGTGATGGTGTGGCACAAAGTTGGAATCATATACGAAGTATATCTGTATATATACTACATTGTAATTTTATAAGTCATCTAATCACTTGGCTAAGTACATACTCCGTAACATATTAATTAGTACCTAATTTTGTACTACAAGAAACATATACTTTTATATAGTTTTTATTTACAGTCTTAAACGATTGGAGGATTTGAAAGTTGGACTAGATTAAAATCATCTTATGCATCTCGTTTCAAGATTGTGTCTAATAATCGATAATCGTAACCACAAAATGTTATATTCCTTGGACAATTTGTTTAGGTTTTTTGGATAAGCTTACAAGCTAGTAGCTAGTGATGATATTAATTTTTATTACAAGTATTACATAAACTGATAAACAATAATTAAAGGAAGTTTATCATTGTTTTGTTTGTCACCTAAAATTGTAAGAGCATTACACTTTTATATACTAGTATATTTTACAGATTTTTTTTTTAGGGGTACTGTACGTTTTATTGAAACTTGTTTAAACTAGTGGTTCAATTTTTTTTTTTTTTTTTTTTTTTTTTTTTTGGTGAAATGTTTAAAGTACGTAGATGAGTCCATTGTTATTTTTAAGCCCGTTTAACTTAATAATAAAGTTGTACATCAACATTAATGTTGTTGATTTATTAGTATAATAATGTGATTACATAAGAGAAAGATCAGGATCCCATTTAAAGAAAATCACATAATAAACGATCTTAATCTCCAGTCTAATAATTCATCACCAATTGATGACAAGATTACATAAGAAAGATAATAATGCTATTATAAAGAAAAAAAAAAAAAAAATTCAAATAAATTAATGCTTACATTCTTAATTGTAAAAATTAAACATACTATGACGAAATATTAAAAAGAAATAATAAACTATAAAAGTTGCAATTAAACATTCATACTAATAAATAAAGGATCAAAGCTTAAGGGATAAATCAAGCTTTGAACCCTTAGTCTTGTCATGACAATTTGTACCACCTTCATGAAGAAGCAAACTTTCATTAGCCGGGAGAGCATTGCCATTAGTAACATTATTGTTTGATAATAATGTTGTTTCTCTGCTAACACTCGAAGTAACCGTTGGATTAGACTTGAATGGTCCTAAATTTGGGACTGCATTGTCCTCATTCCGAGCCTTAAACCAGGATATTGGAGTGCGATTAATAGATTCAAAAGGTATTTTAGAATTATTTTCCATCCTTGGTCTATCATATGATGCCATTGGCCTATCATGTGATGCCATTGGCCTATCATATGATGCCATTGGTCGATCATGTGATGCCATTGGAATTGGTCTATCGTATGATGCCATCAATTCCCTTAGAGATGGTTTAGGCCACAAAATGCCCAATTTGAGGACTAGGCATCGACCATGAGGGCTTCTGAGTCATAGACGACCCTGGATTGATCCCTAGAGGTGATCGATTATTGTATGATCCATAATAAGACATGTTTTGCATACCCGGATAAGGATAGTATGGAGGAGGATAATGACTATAATTCGCCCCTTGACTTAAGCCTCCATTTTTTCTCCTTTTCGCGAGTGCCCTCTCTTGCTTATGAGCATTTTGGTGGCCTCCTAAAGCTTGAGAGGTGGGGAACTCCTTTTTGCAATAGTTACAAGTGAAAACCCTAGACCTTGAGGAATTTTCTCTATTCTTGGGTTTACTAGGTGAACTACTCGGCCTTAATCGATTTTGGTTGATATTAGGGCTAAGGTTTGGATCTACCCTAGATCCCATGCTAGAGCCTTCATTTGATAGCCTTAGATCAAGCATGACTGCTTGAGGAGGATTAAAGCTTGAAGGCTTGGGCTCAGATTCATTGGTGATAATACCTTTCATTTTGTCTAAATTTTGATATGAATCTTTTTTGAAATGAGATGTAGTATTTGATGCAACAAAGAAGTTTAAAGCATCTTTAGGAGATGGATTATTGGGTTTTTCACCAAAATTCATGGTTATTTTAAGTTATTTTCTTTGATATGAAACATTCGTAATGATATGATATACAAGGGTATTTATTGAGATGAAATTGAAAAGGATATCTTGCATATATAGAAATGGTGATTCTAGAGTAATAATGATATATGATGCTATCAAAGTGAATCTCTTAAAAAGACTAACAAAAGCTAAGATTAAGTGGTCAACTAGTCATTACTTACTAATGCATAGATGTACAATAATTTATTTCAATAATTATCTTGATTTTGAAATTATTGAGAACAATAATTAAGACAAGTTTATGAACTAGGTGCGAGTTACATATTTAAGTCTTATGTCTTTTTACGTACGAGACGACATTTTTTCCAGTACATTAGAAATATATAAGTATATGAGTTATTAATTAACTTTCTTCAATTATTCTATATAGTATCGGAATGAAGTAATAAATGTCTTACTAGTTACCACTATTACTGATGACTTAATTGAGAACAGAACATATCGTGAACTCGACTATATATAAGATCTAACTTCTACTAGTATAATTGAAGTTTGATTTACAGTCTATTTTAATCAATATTATGTTATTGTTGCTCTCTATATATGATTTTAGTATTTAAATCTCAAAAAATATTTAAAAATGCTGATATGTGGCCAACGAAGCGAGATCATTAATTATTGATGATTAAGAATGTCAAAGATAATAAAAGGACATATTGCTGATTACATACCAAAAATACCCTTATTGCATATTCAATGTGCTTTAGGAAATGTTCATTATTGATGATTTTGAATCCACAATTACCTAATATCCATGATTTATGCTGAAGATTGAGTTCATATTATATCTTCTAATGTCATGATTTACTTGAAGCTAAGAAAGCTCTAATAATTTTGGTTTTTACATTTGGATTGGATAATACACACAACACACTAGCAAACACATTTAATTATGAGCTGTTATTTGAACTGTCCACACTTTTTTTTATGGAAATTAAAATTAATCAATAAATTAATAAAAAGCATACAACATATACAATAATTAGATCAAATACTCATATAACTTACCTATCTTAAGACTAGATCGTTGTATATCAAATTTGACAATTTTTCATACCCGGCGTCCCGGCCTCTTTCCTACATTGTTTCATATATACAAGAGGATCAATTGCTTTGTTGAAATTTTAAAGCCGAAGATTATACATCAATTTTGAAGTTACATCTATATTTATCAAAGAATTAATTTGTACTATAATATTAGAATATGACTAACAACAATTCCACAAGGGATATTAATTAAACAACACAACAGAAACAAATTCACATTACACTTGCAAGTTGCAACATTTACTTTTTACTTAAATTGAAACACACATATAAACATAATTAAACACTAAAAGATCTTGACCACCCTAGTGATTATTAAGATTAAGGGTTTGTGTACGATAGGTTATTACATGTTCAAATTCCCCCGGTCCCATTTGTAATTTGTATTGCCCTTGTGTGACTCATTTGCACCAAAAAAAAAAATTAAACATATTAATCAAACAAAGAAAAGGTGTTGAAGTCAACCAAACCCGCCCAAAGTGTTGAAACAACTACGGTTTAACCAACTATCTTTACTAAGATAAACAATTTTAATTAGTAAAAAATAATTTAAGTTATATAAAAATAATTTATATATGTTTAGCAAAAATAATTTAATTTTACTAATTAATAATACTTTCAGCTCGGCAAAAATAAGATAAAGGAACAAGACCTAAATTATAGAAGAAAAAAAATATTAATTCAATCTTTAAATTAAAGGAGAAAAAAATTTATTTGTCCCTTCTTTTTTTTTTTTTTGAGAAGAATTTATTTGTCCCTTAGTTGCAAAAGCTAACGAGCGCCCTCGGGGCGTTAGATAAGAGAACTAAATGTACATTAATTACACCGATCGACGCATGATTTTGTCATGCATTCCAAACTTAATACTATTTTAAGTGATATATAAATCTCTTATCTAGCGTCCCGGATGCTTGTTAGCAAGATCCAATTATTAATTGCTATAAAAAAAATAAAATTAAAAACCTTGTTGGTAGAAAATTGTAACTAACTAGTCTTTTATGATATAAGAATTAATTTGATTATTGTATATGCGGAGTTTGTGTTTTGGCTAGAAAGTTATAATATTCAGGCACAATTAATTTCACAATGTAATAGTTGGTTTTAATCGATATGATTTAGTTATTAATACTAAAATTAATTAAGTTCAATAAATATAAGTTTTACTACGCAATTTGTAAAAATTAGTATCTCCGCGTAACAAAAATAACAAAATCAGTTCAAATAATAAGTTGAAATTCTTAACAATTGCACTTTAAACTGAAAAGAAGGGAATAAGACATTTACTCTCTTCGTGTATATATATGGATGAAAGTTATGTGGATTGCTAAACATCGCCCGCAAATCTCCACATAAAGCCCACAAAATTAGAGTGAAATGACACTTTTGCCCTCAAAGTAAAAAACACAATTTCTTCTCTCTATTCTCTACTTCCACTTTCTCTCTCTAAAAAACTTTCCGAGCGATGTCGAGGCGGCCCGACAAGGAAGTGGCGGCACCGGCGGCGGGTGGACGGCGGTTTGCCGGCGAGAAGGTATTTTTTATTAATTTTGTTTTTAAAAAATAAAAAAAAAAAGTTCGGAGGCGGTGGCGGCGCCAAGGCCAGACGCCACCACCACGGCGGAGGCGCCTAGGCCAGACGCCGTGACGGTGGTGGCGGCGCCTAGCCCAGACGCCACCACCGTGGCTCCAGCGTCTGGCCAATGCGCCGCCGCCGTGGTAGTGGCGTCTGGGCTAGGCGCCGCCGCCACCGTCACGGCGTCTGGCCTAGGCGCCTCGTTATATATATTTTTTTTTAATTTTTTTTTGTTTTTAAATTTGAAATTTTATTTTCGAAAATAATTTTTTTTTCTTTTTATTTAAATTTGTTTTTCTTTTTTTTAATTTTAAATTTTATGTTTCTGATTTTTTTTTTATTTTGTTTTAAATTTTGTTGTTTTTTTTTTAAAAAATTTTATGTTTCTCTTTTTTTTTTTTTTAATTTTTAATTTTATGTTCCCTTTTTTTTTATAAATTTTTTTTAAAATTTTGATGTTCTTCTTTTTTTAAGTTTTTATAATTTTATATTTTTTAAGTTTTGTGAGTTTTTTGTTTTGGTTTTTTCTTTGCATTTATTTCCGTAACTTGTTTATTTGCTTTCAAACAAACAAACAAAAAAAAATTCAAAACAAAAAAAAAAAAAAAAAAAGAGAAATTAAATTAAAAAAAAAAAAAAAAATTTTAAAGCAGCCCCTAGTGGCGCCTGGCCAGGACGCCGGAGCCACGGTGGGGACGCCTGTCCAGGACGCCGCCGCCATGGTGGCGGCGTCCTGGCCAGGCGCCCCCACCGTGGCTCCGGCGTCCTGGCCAGGCGCCACTCCCATGGGTGAGGCTTCCCCACCAGGCGCCTATGCCACGGTGGCGGCGTCCTGGCTAGGCGCCACAACCACGGCATAGCCTTCTCGGCTAGGCGCCAGCCACCATTTCGTCCTTACGATACGTTACGAACCTCGTTTTCCGGCAACGATGGCGACTCTCCGGTGCATATCGCCGCCGACGACGTCTCTTCGGTGATCCACATTTTTTTAGTGCGAAAAATTTGTTTTCGGTTAAAATTATAAAAAGGGCAAATTTGTCAAAAAATTATAAAATGCGGGCTTTATGTAGTAATTTGTGGGCGATGTTTAACAAATCCCAAAGTTATTCGGATTAACTCCAAATTTTGATCCAATAATCCAACCACATTATTTGTTTGGATTGAAAGTTTTTTAAAATTACTTGTTTGTTTGAAAGAAATAGATTAGTGTTTTATATATAATAGAAATCAATATCCATAAGTATATACGGAAAAATCTCACAAAAAATATGATTTACCCGTTATTGCTCAACACCGATCGAACGGAACTAACCTATCAAGATGCATGATAAGTGACTAAGTTACCCGTCTATTAGCATGAGACCATATAATGAAATCAAACGACGAGCTTAAGAACAAGAGTACAAGACATTATTGAGAATGTTGTCAAGATATGTTTGATAAGTAAGGACTTCTCCAACCATGAGAGACAACATCCTTTTAAAATAATTAGATTGGAATGAAAATTGTTTTGAAATTTGGATTTTCAAATTGGACCAGATTGAGGGTGTATACGAAATTGAACAAACCAAAATTGTATGGATTATTTATCCACTTTAAACTTGTTATAAGTGATGTAATAATTTTTAAGCTATTTTTTGACTCCTAAGATGGTCATTATGATAATTACAATTCATATAAAGCTTGGGTCAATATTTAAGGGATAAAGCCCTCTTTTAATTTAGTTCACCTTATTTAAGATTTTAAAAATTATTTTTAATCTATCAACTATTAACTATTACTAAAATAGAGTATGCTGACATCATCATTATGCACAAGTCACTCTCTTAATATTTTTTTTCCTGTCTAAATGCAATTATGATGTCATCTTTTTGGGGGGTACCATATTTAACATTTTTTAAATTTGAATATTAGAACCTTCTATATTACAGCTAAAACTTATCAATTCATCCTAGAAATTGAAACAATTTTAAATAGAACACTAACAAATGGCCTCCCACATTGAAATATGTATTAAGGGACGTTGAACAGATACTACTATATCATAATTTTGATGAAAATCTAAAATTTTAAAATTACAAATATTTTTGTACAGGTGCATAATTCTTGTTTATATTCATGTATAATAGCCAACTTTTTTTTTTAAATGTACAAATTACAAAAATAGGTTTTATATAAACTATGTATCGTACGGGTCCTATATCCTAATTTGACAATATAAGGAAAAATTCACATTAATAAAAAATAAAAAAAAAAAGTTCATAATAGATCAAATAAACAAAAATCAATTTCAAATCATATTTATATAAAAATAAAAGCAAAACATAAACCTTAC